TATCTCACAGATGCTAATTTTCTGCCCCTGACCATTTCTGCTCTACCCTAAGCATTTCTCCTATGTTCTAATCCAGCTAATTACAATGTGCATGGGTACCTCTGCATCCTGAGTCCCTTTTTTGAAACACCCCCACCCACCCTCTGGCGGGGATATAAAGACTGAGAGATCTCCACTCTGAATCGAATATGACGAAGGGAACCTTGAGTCTGAAAGCTTTTACCTGAAAAACCTTGCTAGTCTTTAGGTGCTCCTGGGCTCAACATTAGGCGTTTGTGTAAAGTGTCATATCATCACACCAGGCATCCCTTTCTTTCTGCAGGAGACGTGCGGCAGTCAGCAAATGGAGCAGAAGAACATCGACTGATGGAAAAAGAGGATACATATTCAGGCGTGACAGAGAAGTTTGAATATTTGGATGCACCAAGGAAGGAGAAGGGAAAACACCCCCCTAAAGGGAGGAATAATTCCGGTCTTTTGCAGGGGGGTGACTCGCTACAGCAAGATACATGTCAAGGAGACAACAGGGAGGAGTGCACTGCAAGCAAGAAAAGTTCCACTGACATATCAGTTATTAATATTCACCAAAGGATGTGTAACAGAAAGAAAAGATATAAATGCCAGGAATGTGGAAAAAGTTTCAGGCAGAGAGCGCACCTTACTTCCCATCGAAGAATTCACACAGGGGAGAAACCATATACATGCCTGGAGTGTGGGGAAAGCTTCAGTCACAGTTCCCATCTTACTTCCCATCGAAGAACTCACACAGGGGTGAAACCATACAAATGCCTGGAATGTGGGAAAAGCTTTGGTCGGAAGAACACTCTTATCTCCCATGAAAGTATTCATGCAGGGGAGAACCGATATAAATGCTTGGAGTGTGGAAAAAGTTTTGGAAGAAAAAATACTCTCATCATCCATCAAAGAATTCACACCAGGGGAAAACCATACAAATGCCTGGAATGTGGGAAAAGCTTTGGTCGGAAGAACACTCTTATCTCCCATGAAAGTATTCATGCAGGGGAGAACCGATATAAATGCTTGGAGTGTGGAAAAAGTTTTGGAAGAAAACATAATCTCATTGTCCATCAAAGAATTCACACCAGGGGAAAACCTTACAAATGCTTGGAGTGTGGGAAAAGCTTTGGTTACAGTAAGACTCTTGCTTCCCATCAAAGAATTCACACGGGGGAGAAACCATACAAATGCCTGGATTGCGGGAAAAGCTTCAGCTGGAATGGCAGTCTTACTTCTCATAAAAGAATTCACACAGGGGTGAAACCATACAAATGCCTGGAGTGTGGGAAAAGCTTCAGTTGGAGAAACACTCTTAACTCCCATCAAAGTATTCATGCAGGGGAGGACCTATATAAATGCTTGGAGTGTGGAAAA